TATCTTTATTGGGCACTTACTAGGGGCGTTGATTCTTCCGTTTGATTAAAAGTCCTAAGCTCCCAGATCTCCGAAGCATAAAGAAATATGTAGGAATTTAGTAACTATATAGCTTCTAGTTGTGTACGTTTCCAGGTCATGTTTTAGAATTGAGATTTCTCTTTAATCTGATAAATGTGTTATTATTGCATTGGTGCAAGCAACACGTTTTACGTTTTGTGCGATCCTCCCAGTATTAAGTGTTTATATTAAAGTTCTTTTATTTAATAATCATAAAGTAATTATCCTTTGATAAAGGAAAGTGCGCGATCTCTTGAGTATGCTATATGTACATATAGGGTAAATATTCCCAAACCGAACATAGGGAATTAACATAGGCGAAATATTTTTTGTAGATAGGTAGTTGCTCCCCATGTTAACTTAGAGGGTTTATAGCGGAAATATTTATACTCTAGTACGCGATGTTTGTTTTCCGTGCCTTTTAATGAGCGTCTGTGTGAAAACCTATTTCAATTCTTTAGGAAATTTCCATGGCTTAACATGATTTTGCTAATTGGATTTATTGCCGAATTTTTGATAAAATAATGAGAAATACGAGTACACCTGAAAATAAACTAATTCGTATATCATCAGATGAGAAAAAAACCTTCCTTTGATTGGTGTCATTATAAACCCTCTAAGTTAACATGAGGAGCAAAGCAACGATATGCAAAGATCGTTTTTCCCATGTTAATTGCCTATGTTCGGTTTTAAAATATTTACCCGGTAGGTATGTAATATCTGTACCGAGACCTGGAATTTAAAGTTACCTGATCTACAATGTTCTAATTGAATTGCAATAAATCCTATCATGCAAGATGCGTAAGCCTTGACAAAAATCATCTGGAGGCGCTGAAGTCCATTTCAGGTGCATCTTGGCGATGTTAATCTCTTGCAGTGATGCTAATCAGCCTCGAAGTGAGTCAGCTATCTCTACTACTGTAACTAGGGATTGTAAAGGATGTAAAGCCCTATTAAGGGTAATTGAAGAATTGAAAAGTGCAGTAGCATCGTTAACATGTGACATAGACAAATTAAAGGAGTCTAATGTTTTAGGTAGAATTCCTCTGATTTTCTTGCATACCTACAAAACACAATCGTGTTTTAGACCACAGCCAATTATAACTTTAAGAGGACCGACTACATCAACCTATATAATGATCTATTACTTGTGGACTGGTCCATATTGCTATGCGTTTGTTTTTCAACTTACCCAGTAGTGTTAAAATTTCTGTCGCGTTATATATCGAAAGAGAAGTGGAACTGTAGTACTTACTGCGAATCCTGCGCTGCAATACTTTGACTGAGCCGAGATGTGTTCATTGGTACTAAAAATAATTTCAACGCGTCACCAATAAGGTTCTGGGGATGAAATTACCGTATTCGCCTGCTGCATTACTCCTGGAATTCGAGATGCTCCTTTCTTTGAATTGATCAAATTTCTCCTTGGTAAATTATAAAAATTTAACTTCCGACGACCATAGCGCTGCTGATATCTTACCTAGATTCACATTTTTTTGCAGGACCATTTGCGAACTATTTACACAGGGCTTTTTTAAAGCGCGCCACCGATTGATTGTACTCGTAATTTGTGATTTGTATAAATAAAACAAAAATTGCAAAACGTCAATTTAATAGCAAAAGACAAGTTTAATAGATGTATCTACCTTAGGGCTAGCATTTACCCCTACAGCCCCCATCGAGTGACATCATTTTAAAGGCCATAAAAATAAAATTTAACACATTTCACGTCAAAGGTGGCAATCACTCTATTAATTATGGAAATTGTTGGGATTCGAAATTTGTATGATTTATGGACCTTTCCCATACTATTGGAATCAAATTTGCATCATGGCAGATTAACAATAAGCTCTTTATAATTAATACACCTCAAGCGATCTTCCCTAATTATTAATAAATGCGTGTCAATAACCAAAATACCATACTTCGTGCATGGCAAAAGTTGAGGCTGGTGCGAAAGTGATTATAATACCAAAAATCGAAAGCGACATACACGTAGGTATCCGTAACAAATTTTTGCATTACTTTGCGTGCGGAGAAAATGTGGCATAGTTAAAAAACCATTACAAACTCAAATAAACAATTACCGAATTGGTTTGATTTACGATCTAGAATGCAAATTATCACGAATACCTGATGTACCTATATATTTCGATACCCGTTTGATGGTTATTTTCACCGTTAAAAGTGAAAGTGCAAATATTAAACTCCCGGTATACCTTTTATACACGTGGGTGTTCACTCACAATATAAATTTTATCAACTTTCATCTACGACTTACGAAAAAGGAGGGCAAACTAAGTTACAAATTTTTAACAATAACGATGGTGATTAAATTTTAAGCGGTTTTTGTATTTAATTAATATGCGGGCTCCGAAGGATAAAATTAACGATTGTCGTATTGTAAAAAAAACTAATTCTCCATTTCTTTTGTGAAACACAGAATGAAGCATTGGGGATAGGTGGATACCTTGAAATGAGCTAAAGTCAGGGTCGCCATATAATAATATAAACAAAAATAGAGTGCTGGCGAGCGTAGGTTTGTTTAATAATTAATTTACCTAAAGCTAAATCAATTTAATTTGTACGGTGACTAAAAATAAATCAGCATAATTAGCATACGCGTGCTTTGACAAATTGCAGATAGCGTCCTGCAACCAACAATACACTGGTGCGTGATATACTAGGTGCACATACAGGGTTTTCATTTTAAAACGAACCAGCTTATACATATAATTCGTAATTACATTGAATAAGTCCTATGATTCAATGGTAGTTATCATAAATCATAAGAAAGAAAAACTGCAAAAACCCTTTCCAGTAGCGTTTACCCTCGCACCCCCAACTGCCACCCTCTTAAAAATATAGTATTTACCCTCGTGGAACCTCTCAAAATCTATAAAATTCTCTTTCTAATAATGCTGAAAAAAAAAGTGAGTAATAATAACAAAGCTAGAAACCAATTTCGAAAGAAAATTCAAAGGGCTGTAACTTTTGAACTAGTAGCCCAATCTTGGAACTGTTTGAAAATATGAATTCTACAGGCCACATTCTGTAAGAAAATTTTTTTCCGGGTCGATCTGAGACAAATTTTTTTCGGGCCTCAAAAAAAGGCAGTGTACAACCTTCCTTTTTTGACAAAAATCGACTGCACCAAAATTTCTTGGGAAAACACTTTTTCTTATTAATTTTGGTGCGTAGAATCCAAAACAATTCGTACTTTTTCGATCAGACTTCTCAATCAAAAGTTATCGACTAGAAACCAATTTCGAAAGAAAATTCAAAGGGCTGTAACTTTTGAACTAGTAGCCCAATCTTGGAACTGTTTGAAATTATGGATTCTACAGGCCACATTCTATAAGAAAAAATTTTTCCGGGTCGATCTGGGACAATTTTTTTTTGGGCCTCAAAAAAAGGCAGTGTACAACCTTCCTTTTTTGACAAAAATCGACTGCACCAAAATTTCTCGCGAAAACACTTTTTCGTATTAATTTGGGTGCGTAGAATCCAAAACAATTCGTACTTTTTCGATCAGACTTCTCAATCAAAAGTTATAGACTAGAAACCAATTTAGAAAAAAAATTCAAAGGGCTGTAACTTTTGAACTAGTAGCCCAATCTTGGAACTATTTGAAATTACGGATTCTACAGGCCACATTCTATAAGACAAAATTTTTCCGGGTCGATCTGGGACAATTTTTTTTTGGGCCTCAAAAAAAGGCAGTGTATAACCTTCCTTTTCGACTACACCAAAATTTCTCGGGAAAACACTTTTTCTTATTAATTTAGGTGCGTAGAATTCAAAACAATTCGTACTTTTTCGATCAGACTTCTCATGTCGATCCATTCTACATAAACGACAACAGTTTCCTTTTATTATAATTATCGCTTTTTAATTAATGATGTACGATGTTAACGTTAAATGTATTGAAATATACTGTAGGTATGTGTAGAAAACAAGTGTAGCGAGTTAGCGACACACAAACTTACCGGAGAATAAAAAACGCGAAATTCCTAGAGAAAAATGATAAATATTGCGAGGTTTCCAAAAGAATTATCCCCTAAATTTGACAATCAGTAGAAATTTTAAAATATAATGAGTATACATTTCAATAAAAAATCTAAATCTTGATGTAAAGGTATAGGTATTACTCTCCTGTTTTTTTATTTTGAGCTGCCTAAAATCAGCAACCGTTAGCAATCGAGAGAAATGAGACTTGTGATCGCTAAAGCCCCAGTGTTAACTATGATACAAAGAATACATTGTGACATCATGAGTGTTAAAACTAAAAGTTATGCTTGTTGGCATGGACTAAGGACTGCATGGATGCAAGAGTGCAATATTATTGTAGTCTTTTTTAAACGAACTTTATATTACCTGAACTATCCTGTATCCTCAATTCAATATACCGAAATAATAAGTATATCAATTTTCAGTTCAGAAAAATTTTCAGCTAGATTTAATTCTGTGTGCAAATTTTTAAACGATTTGTTGGATTATACATAGGTACATTTTGCCTATTTCAGAAATAAGAAGGTGCACTGTGCTGACTATGAGAGAAACTGCAGTTGAGTCGCAGAGATTAATTTTTTTAAACGCAGTTCGCACAAGCAAAATGCACCCAAGAATCCCTTACCTACGCCAACATGCAGTTTGAAATTCTACTTTCCTAATACTCCGATGCACTCGATCCCGCTCGCCGATGCATTTCGCCATCGCGTTAAATTGAGAGAGGCGCACTTACCTGAAACAAAAAAATCAAAAGTTGTAATAAAGCAACATAATAATAAAAGTGCAGACGCAAGAAAGTCATTTTCCACTTACAAAAAAGAATGCACCCGGAAATGTATTTTTAATGCACGGCGTCGGCTCGTATATGCACCGACGATCGTCGATAAAAGTGCATTTATTTGGTTGCACTTGGTGACGTTTACAAAATCGCTGCATTATACTAGCAGGATAGCAGAAGGTGTTTTTGGTATCAGACAGGCGCAGTGTAAAACTTTGAGTAGGTGCATTTTCAAAAATGCATAAAATCCAAGACGCTCCAAAGAAGCGCGTGGTAAATAATCGTGGTGGTGTTAATTAGCGCACTTTTTGTGCACGAAGTTTAAGGGTAGCACGTATCAGTGGCGTATTTTAATTTTTTATCACAATCTTAAACATTGAGCGCCATTTTGTTTTCTGGAATGATAAAATTGCAAGTCAATGAGGTGGAATAAAAATCTCATGCGCTCGTGGTGTCGCTTGATTTAAAGAAAGAAGTGGAATTAGTGCGATAAAGGGGTAAGTAACGCAATTTTTGGAATCATTTTATTGCAGACGCAAACGCTATTGTTTAAATTTGTAACTGACCTAGCCACGTTTTAAAACGTTAGGCTATTGATCCCAGACGGCGGCGAGACGTATGACCCGGTGTTAACATTCCGCTAAGCTGTTTTCGGTGCAGCTATTTTATTTCTGTCTTGCTGCTTGTTTACCTAAAATTTAAATATTTAAACAAATTTCACTCTGTGAGATTTACTGACAAGGGTATACGTGAGTGATCGGTATAAGGAATTAATACATTCGAGAGACTTTGGCGAATTTCAACCCCTAAATATAAGGGAGGGTGGCGCAATTAAGAAAGGACTGAAAATATAAATCACTGTTGCCGTGCTTGGTAAAGATTTATCAATAAGATAATAAGGTAACGTCATCGCGCGTGTCGCTACTTAACGACACCATAATGAGTGCAATAATAATAATGCCAAGGCCGTTGCATTCCCATCTCGGAGCAAAATGTCCCCATTTTTCACCTGCTTGCCAATACAAAATTCAATATTTTCCACGTTTTTCTTTTCCTGGAGATGGCGATGGAACAGAGAAGAGGTCACGAAAATTTGCAATGTAAAATAGTACAAGTAGGTGCGAATTGCTAAACGTTATAAATAGATTTCGAACGCTTGCGGCTTGCAATACATAGGTTATATTACAATAAGTATTTCTAATTGATGCAACAGTTGCAGCTGTAAGTAAAGTGAAAAAATTAATACTTGTTCAATTGGGTAATTGTCGGTACTAAACCCTAAATCTCAAAAGTAGGAACGTAGTGAAAATTATCAGTAAATATGTATTTCGAAACAGAAAGCTGCATTTTGACACAAGAAACAGTACTGGAAATACGATTAAGAAAATGAATGTAGTTTGCGTGAAGAATGGAATGGTTTTTGGGCATTATTATGCCCCCCCATCGTAACGAACACGTCTAGTAGTACACGTTTTCAAGCATGGATAAACCGAGAATACATTAGCTATACTTTTTAAATACAATACCTACCCAACCAATTGCATGAGTTACCACTTCTTCCTTATTTGCCTCGTTATTTGCCAAATAAAGAAGAAACCGAACTTTTAGATGATAACTGGGGTGATGCGTCTAATCCTGTCAATTACGAGGAAATACCAAAAGCAGTAGTGGGTTACCAGGGTGGAGAACTTGGCTTTTACCATTTCTAGCGCAGAAAGTAAAATAGAAATCCGGTGGACTGAATTTAACAGGAAAGAAGTGAACTGTGATCTGGATGTTTCTCACATGGGATATTTGCCATTAATCTTAAATCTTTAACACGAGTTGTTTAAACTGTTAGAATCCCACTCATTCAATAATAATTTTCTAAAACCCCATTTCGTTTTAATAAACGTTATGTTGCTGAAATCTTTATTTTCGCCGAACTACTCTGAATGATTGTTTTTTAATATCCTTAACATTCTCCCCCCTAATCCCAAATTCACACCAGAAATTGAATCAGTAAATAAATTCCTCAATTTCATTTAAGCACTCACTTTTGAAAATCAATACCTATAAAAACACCCACCACCACTGACCTTGTTGTCCCCTTCGGTGACATCCCCTAACACACAAGTTATCCCGCTTGAGATTTTTAGCGAGACCAATTTATTATTCCACTATCCTATAAACTGTTAGAGCCAATAAAAATCCGATCAACCTTTTAATGAAAATTAAAGAAATCAACTGCAAAGACAACAATTTTACACAATTTGTGGTGTGCGCTCTATACGAGTTTAAGAATAAAACTGTAAAGCAAATTTTTCATAAAACCTTAAAAAATTTGGCGCATCTTGTCTTTGGAATCCAAATCCAATACGAACGGTACGGTATTTTTTAATATTATACAGGGTGTTTTTTTGGGAGCTTTAGTTAAAAGTTTCTGGGAAAGTAAAATAGGTAGGTTTTTGAAAATTTGTACTTAGGAGTTACTCTGAAGGCCGAATCGATGTAAAATATTTTCAAAATGGCCGCACTTCCGGAAACACCGGAAGTAGATAGTAACTTCGTTATTTTAAATGGCAACCCCTATTTTTTATTGCTTTTTTGGATTCTACGTGAAATTTCACTTCTTTTGATACCCATATGTCGATATCTACCATTTATGGTTTTTAAGTTATTTTGACTTTAAGAAAAAAAATGGCGGATGCAGATGGTACCTTGATAATTGATTACTTGCAAACGGTTGTAGTCATGGCAACCTATTTTTATCAGTGCATAGAGAATGAATAGGGCTTTCTTTTAGTGCACTTAAAAAAAAGTTAAGTTGCGTACGACCGCCCCTATGGATATCCAAATTTATGAAACTTCAAAGACTAAAACTCAGTTTTTTTTAAAGGAATGACCATGTTCTTACTATTCCATGAGATAGAGAATCGAAATGGGCATATTTTGACAATACATGTTCCTATAGCTATCTTTAACAGTTTCTGACTTATTCCCATTTTATTGAATTGACACTATTTTTTTAGGATTTTCTTTTTAGTAGTCGGCCATGATTCTATAACAATTGAATTTTAAACAAATCTAGTGACACTAATCCATCACCCACGGTTATAGGTTAACATAAGTTTTTCAAAAATCGAAAAATGACTCGCAGTGGTTTCACCTATTTTGGAATTTAATTGTTATTTATGGTGAAATGGGCAGAATCGCGGCGCGTGCTTTCCGTACATTCATTCGAAAACTAGAACGAAATTGTATGAATTTTTGAAATTTTGTACCCCTAATGCACTACAAACCGTTGAAGCACAAGTTATACAAAGCTCTACAAGAGAATATTTAAGAAAATGAATTGAATTGCAAATGCAAGATTAACAAAATAAATTCAATGCAAAATATAAAAAACTTTGTTGAAACATTTTTGGTATGGAATTGTTGCTAGAACAGATATCGCATTACCTCCCTTAATTTCCAGACTTATACGTTGTTTAAGAAATTCAGTTGAACGACTCTGTTTAGATTTTTCAAAAATTTTCTGTCCTATATCCTTATTAAATGAGTTATTTATTAATGAATTATTTAGACTAGAACTAGAATCAGTGGTATTAAAGAATCCATTCCTTGATTTGTTTAAAATTCTATTGTTATAAAATCATGGCCAACTACTAAAAAGAAAATGCGAAAAAAAATGGCATCAATTCCGAGATCAATTCAATGAAATGGGAATAAATCAGAAACTGTTAAAGATAGCTATAGGAACATGTAATATCAAAATATGCCAATTTCGATTCTCTATCTCATGCAATATTAAGAACATGGTCATTCCATTTAAAAAAACTGAGTTTATAGACTTTGAAGTTTCTTAAATTTGGATCTCCATAGGTGCGGTTGTACGCAACTTAACTTTGTTTTAAGTACAGTAAAAGAAAGCCCTATTCATTCTCTATGCACTGATAAAAATGGGTTGCCATGACTATAACCTTTTTCAAGTAATCAATTATCAAGGTACCATCTGCATCCGCCATTTTTTTTCTTAAAGTCAAAATAACTTAAAAACCATAAATGGCAGATATGACATATGGGTATCAAAAGAACTGAAATTTCACGTAGAATCCAAAAATGCAATAAAAAATAGGGGTTGCCATTTAAAATAACGAAGTTACTATCTACTTCCGGTGTTTCCGGAAGTGCGGCCATTTTGAAAATATTTTACATCGATTCGGCCTTCAGAGTAACTCCTAAGTACAAATTTTCAAAATCCAACCTATTTTACTTTCCCAGAAACTTTTAACTAAAGCTCCCAAAAAAACACCCTGTATAGTAGTATAGAAGTTCATTAAATAAATAAGTGGACTGTTTTCCTTATAACATGTGTCTATCGCGCCAGAATAATTTAATTCTTTCGTTCTGCAACCGAGAATTGCACTGCCGAGGCATACGTTGTTGAAATTGTCAAAAACAAAATTTGAAATTGTTCTTTTTATGATTACTCCTCGAGTTAATACCAAATTTCGATCAAACCTGTAAATAGTTTTCAATGAAACGTCATGAATCCGCCGTAAACAATTTCCATAATGAGGTTAGAACAAAACAAAAGGACTCGAAACCGCTCCCATGCAATTTAATTCATTCATATATGTTGAGATCTTTCTGATTTTTAAAAATATCCAAAAAGGTATTAAGAAATTGTTATCTTATTTCTTGGTTTGATTTATTACTTTAAGGATCAATGTAAGCCTATTTAATCCGCCGTACTTCAAACCCAAATTCACCGATATCAGCACAGATTTAGTCATCAACAACTACCTTTTTTCGGTTTATGCATTTTGCTGAAATTCTTACCCTAATATGGCTAACCCCTGAAGTGCGAAAAAATTCTGCTTGTGTGGAGTTAGTTTTTGACATTAGAAAAAAAACTGTAATTCTTATTCGGATAATACAATGGTCGTAGTTTCATGAAATTTGCTGTGCCCTTTATGTGTATTTAAGTAAATTTTTATACAATACTGTTTTAAGAAGACTGATTGCCCCTTTACAAGTTTTTAATTTGTTCAATTTATGTTATTCTATTCGCGTATCAACACCACCTTATTCATGTACAACGTCATATACACCTACCATATTTTTTCAATTCATAATTTTGAACGAGATTTTCCATGATGGTGTGTTATAGAGTAAATTTGCAGAACTTATAGAACTTTTGTTGTATTAGTTAGAACCACTAGTCGCTTATTTTTACGCTTATAACGACTTGGCACCCTGAACAGCGTAATGAAAATTTCCTTATTACTTAATCAGACAAGAGTGTATCTCGAATTGTTTCAGCGGTTATTAAAGCCCACAAAATCTCGAAGTGTACGTGTTATACAAATTTCTCCGAAATTTCATTAATTTCTAACTGGAGAAGGAGCGAATAAATTATAATTAATTCATGGAGTCTAATATTATACAAAAAACTAAAGACGGTGAATTTTCCTTACTTATTATCAGTAAGAAATAAGTGGGGTAGAGACAACTCTTCCTTGCAAAAACTTCCCGAAAACAGTTGGCAAGGGAGATGATGCAGATGCAGCGTGCTCGTGAAATTACTTTTCTTGAGTTTTGAATTATACGTACCTTGATATCCTCTTTACTAATTGTATCATGTAAAAGCTTAACGGGAATCGGCAACGAAGGACATAAAATGGAATACTGATGTTAACAGAATTTATCTTGCTCTCAATCGGAAAGGAAAAAGCCGAGGAAAAAGCTTAAAATTAATAATGTTCCTACTCGCAAGTTGTAAAAATGGGATGTAAAAAACTAAACCTAAAAATTAATTAAATATAGGTACCTACTAAAATAAGTGAACACGTTACATTCACGTTTAAAATAACAATTCAATTGCCAAAAATAAAATAAGGTATGCAAAGACACAGACGCAAACATTTAGAAGAACCCGTCAAACAAACTGTGAGATAAGATGAGACGAAGACTATTTATAACATACAAACGTTTATCGAGCTTTGAAAGAGTTATGTTTACCTCTGTAAGCCTACTAGAGTAATCTAATAAGCTTTTCTTCGAAGGATATACATTTTTGTGTGTATCCTACTTTGGAAACATTTGCGCCGTCCGTTGTATTCAGAGCTAAAGTCTCATCAATTTAAATCAATTCTGATCAATAATGCGTAACATGTTTGATTCATTGTCTCTGTTTTCAGGATTAAATGGACGCCAGGATCAATGTGAGATTGCCAACAGCATCTAAATCAAAATGCCAAAGAAGAGATTTCTCAAAGGGGGCGCTTCTATCAAGGCGACTCGAGGATAAGTTAACCATTACTTTGATATTAATTAATTACTTCTCCATCTGTTTCAGGTTGACGAATTTTCAGAGTAACTGATTCAGGAAGTTTATACCCAACCACTAGAAAATCGTCAAAATAGAATTACAAGTTCAATGTTCGAGTGGGGCGCGTATTTTGGAGGGTCATTCTCTTCAGATGGAAACGAGTACAAAGAAATTACAACCGTTCTATTTTAATAGTTCGATTAGTCATGGCTTTGGTTACCCTTTAGACACGAGCCTAAATGGCACTTTGGCAACGCTACGACTGCAATAAATTTACCTCTACGTGGATCCTTTTGTGACACAGTTAATTAAGCGCACCCATGTTTTGTGCCAATCTTTTGTCCACAAAATCAAAGTTTTCCTAACTGGAAACCATTTTATATATAAATAATTAATTTAAGTAAGAATATACATTAACGAAAGTTTCATTTCTACTCACACGAAATATGGCCATGGGCCAATTTTTACCTTTCCAATTTTGCAAGGTAATTCGATAAGTGGAGAAAATTGCAACAGTTTAACAATTAAAAAGCACTTATCGACGAAGTATGAGATACCACATTTTTTCTCTCCTCGCGCGCGTACTGGTACTCGTAATTTGCCAGTATGCCCATTTCCTTGGCTTTTGCTAAAGAGAAAAACATTCTATCACAAATTGCCACTAATTCAGGTGAATTCTTCTTAATCTCATTCATAGTTTTTTCTAACACTCGTGTCATTGATTATACAACCAATTATGTATTGCTTTTTGTATATACTATTTTGACACCTTGGACAAGGATCCTGTTAGTGTTTGAAACATTATTGGAAGTATCTGAATTCTTTTGTATTTAGGCTCCATGTCTTTGAATGTGAAAGGTATCAGAAAATCTGCGTTCTTTTATTGCACTTATCAGTTATAGGTATAGCTCTTGTTATAGCCAAAAGTGTGCAATCTGACTAATAAGGTGGATGGTTCACCTTTTCCGTTGTCATGTTAGCCAAATAAAGCGAATAGCAATTGAATTGTTTCAACCGTTTTACAATAGGCCAGATTTTCGCGAATCAATGCAGTTACTTTTTTAGGATTCAAACTACTATACTCTATTCATTTTCAGAAGGTAGCGGTAGAAAGCATAGGGAAGTTTTAACCTTTGTAACGAGTAAAAATTCTGGAAAACCTTTATACTGTGATTGGTTAAAACGGAGGTTAAAACCCAAGCCAGTATTACGCTGAAAACTTTTTTGCAATCCAACCGGTGTTCCTTCATCCTACAATTTAATTATTTGTAAATACTTCCCATTTGTAAGGGACGTGGAACTGCTTCTGCGTTTCTTCGGATCGGAGACCGCTTAGTAGGTATCTCTTGGGGTTCTTGCGTATTTGTTGTTCAATTCCGTATGATAAAAGGGGCCACAACGGGCTTATAAGTATAACACGATTAAATCTCTTTTCTTGGAGCAGTTTGGCTGTAGTGTTGCCTTTACTAATACTTCCTCATAATCCTCCCCGTTGTTTTTTTCATATTAAATGCATATTCTTTAAGTATATATCATTAATTTATTAAGTTCATCAGACGTCGTTGTTTCTTACAAAATGTATCCCCGTTCGTTACAAAATTTCTCAGACTGACGCGAATTCTTCGTATTCTCACTTCAATTTCTCCCCACTTCAATACTGGCCATTTCATACAAAATTGATTTGGTTTTTCACCAACAGTTTTTTTCTTCTTAATACAGATTGCACAATTATTATAGTAACATAAAGCTACGCTTACTTGATCTCTAAATTGAAAATCCAGCTTGCGCGTTCATCATTCCAAATACAACTCGCACCCGTGTAAATAAATCTCTGGTAATATTATTTCATATTCGATAACTGATGGCTTTTTGATTTGCAATCATCTGCATTCGTGCGCTCGTGGTCATTGATAATGCAAAAACCATTCGTACGATGTCTACTCGAAAAAAATTCCGCCAACTATACATTGCCACACGTGCTATTACTTATGATAACTGTCTAATGCAAATGATGCGTACGCTTAAGGCAAATTTAGAGGCGATTGTAGTGAATTATCAAACCCTAGATTAAGTAAATACAATAAACCCTCATTTATTATCTAATCAAAATATCATTACTTTAAATGCAATAACCAATTTTGGTAGAGATAACGTACTCAGTATGGCCTTCATTATAATCAACTTTTTTTCTAAAATCTTATTCGGGAATTGATAAGATGAGATGTTATCAAAACATTATTTAACAAATCAGCTCCCACAGATTCCATTTGTTCCTTTTTATTAGATTATCTCCCCGGCAAAAATCATTATCGTTGATGATTATATACGTTAATGATATCTTTATTATTTTCAAACTGTTTTACGGTCTAGATCATCATAATTTAAAGTGTGAAAAAAGCAGTAGACTTATCCATAGAAAAACTAGCAAATCGAATTATATAGAAAATCCACTACTAATTTAATGGTAATTTCACCCTCTCTAATATAATCTTGGAGAGTTCATATCTTTTTTTTACAAAATTTTCAATTTACCTCTCAATAAGACAAATTTTAACTACACGTCCACATCGTTTTTGAGTTGGTCCATCCATGAACGCCTTAATTCAATATTTACAGTATACCTAAATAGACCCTAAAGTAGTTTTCGTAATTTTCCTACATTAAATTCTCTTACGCAGCAATATTAATTCAAGTTCGAAAATTTTACATTTTCGTCACAAGGGAAAGACGCTACATTTTTTAGAGGTGAAAAGATTCATTCTACTTTTAAACATAGCCTCTGTAACCTTAATTTCGAGTAATTTCTAACATTAACACCATTGACATATTTCGATTTCGAGCGGTACCACAGCAACCTACCTATAGGGAAAATGTTGAGTCCTTCAAAATGTATATTTCTACGATCTAAGTTGGGTTTTTAAAATTTATAATAGCTCTTTCGGGACCTATGCCCATTTAGTAACATTTTGAATAAACTATTCATTTACCCAGAGAGAATGGAACCACTCTTCTCGCCAAGAGGTCTATCATGGCATTTTTTTTATTTGGCAGTGCAGGCAGCGACGTTGACTTTTTATAGGAGGGTAAGACAGATGTTAAATACAGAGAAGTATACACACACTTTAATAATATTTAACCCAATATAAGTGACGTATTCAATAAGTATATCATAAATGCGTCTACAGTTGGAACTAATCATTAGAGCGACGATGATAGTGGGAAATTGAACACCACTTTCTATTAAACGTACACTCATCTGATCAACGAAGAACCTGCTCAGTTCGCAGTTAAAAAATATGTGGTTCAAGCTATCAGTCTCGAATCCACAACCACACACTGGCTAATCTTACGATCTTATACAAATCAGATGGAAACCTTCCATGTCAAAATTTGAGACGTGCAATTGTCGAGTAATATCTTTTTGAAGTATACTTATCAGAATACCATGGTGTAAACTTAACGGTTGGGTAGATTCGGTAAAGCATTCTCCAAAATGTCTTAATCTAACACATCCGTAAGCATCCTTGAAATCAATAGAAACCACCCCTACTGTTTCTGTTTTGGCATAACTTTTCTGTATGTCGGAAACCACAAACGGTACGTGCCTAACCTTCGCTTGAATTCTAATTGAAATGACTGAAGCTTTTTATTCCTTTCCAACCACCGTGCAACCCTACGCTTGACCATTCGTTCTAATCTTTTAAATATACACGACAAAAGTGATATAGGCCTATGACTTTGCATCGTTTGTTTTTTTATTGGGTTTAATTATTGGGACAACAGCGTTGCGCTTTGCAACGGTATATTACGGTTTGCCCCCAGTTGGATTGACACCGACAATATACAAATGAACACGGCATTAATCAAGACTTTGCATGGAATAAATAGGGGCTAACAATCGGTAGAGCGTTTAATAGCATATTATATACCAAGAGCCTAAAGTGTGTGTTGTAATCCCGTTTGTGGGTAAATTTTTGCCGATTGCTTTTCGATGCTACTTAATGCAAAATAATGTGCAGTGTACAAACAGAAATATACTAACATATGCTCTTCTTGTTTCCTATTCTCTACTTAATTTTTAGGAAACCAATAGTGCTACAAGAATAAAATGAAATCATCATTACATAATTACGTGTATAAATTAACGAGTTATTCACAAAGTGTACCATTCAAATTGGATTAGAAACCCCATTACAGATACGGTTTTCAATGCCAATGACTTATCGTATAAAGCAATAATCGACGAGGGGCAAAACGCCTTATGGTCAAACCTATCTGAAAATGGAACACTTTTTGTTAACTATTTGACAGAACGCTCTATTATGCTGTATTGCTGTATTATTTTGACGTTCCTATAATTGTGATTTTGCAATTTAAATAATAAATATATTATTATTATTATTATTATTATTGTCGGTGTTTCTTGTGAGAACTCAGGTCTAGCCTGGTTAACTAATCGCACGGATTAATATCAAGTAACGATTAGTGTCTGTGTATGTGTCTGGTGAAGTTATGTAGGGTTTTATTATTATGGTCGGTGTTTCTTGTGAGAACTCAGGTCTAGCCTGGTTAACTAATCGCACGGATTAAAATCAAGTAACGATTAGTGTCTGTGTCTGTGTCTGGTGAAGTTATGTAGGGTTCTAAAGAAAAAAAAAAAAATAAATAAAATAAAAAAAAATAAAAAAATAAAAAAAAAATATTCACACACTCGCATTGGAAATCTACGGATAGTATGTAATTCATACTTACCAACATAGCTATTAATGGCCACAATAGTCAACGCTATCAGGAAAGATTATTATTATTATTATTATTATTATTATTATCCAGTTTTGTTAACATATGCACATCATAAATAAAAAATAATGGTACCTAGTAATAACCATCACTACGAAGTATGAATAGAGACAATGATCGTTTTCTCAATCGAATTGGGGTTTATATTAAGATTTTGAGCGTCTGTTGCAAAATAATCGGTAAAACTGAGCAAGTATTATGTTTAAGTTTAGGCTAATGAAGGATCAACAATAAACGTATGGAATTTCTAAACAAGACAACGTATATCTGGATGTAGCACGCTGCGACTACTATCTTTTCCGAAAGTTGAAGAACACACTTATTCCAGGCCTTAGATGTGCTTGTGATGATGACCAAAAGGTGGTCTTAACTCATAGTGACTATTTTGAAGAGCTACCAAAAGACTGTTTGAAGGTATCTGTTTATTTGCAGAAGTAGTAGAGTATAAGTACAACCTCGCTTAGGAAAGGAAGTTCACCAATTATCACTTAGTTTTGCACAAAATTTCATTTCTGGATGACGGCTATACAATTTGGTAATTTAATTTGGACAAACTGCAAGTTAAACAAAGGAAATTTAATATCATTAAATTAAATAACTGCAGGAAAGGATGCGAAACATTA